CCCCAAAACCCCAAAACCCCAAAACCCCTTCTGTGAAAATCATGATGAATCTGAATAATTAAAATTTTATAATAATATTATAGATAGTAATCTTAGAAATGAGTGATAATTTAGCTATCTTAAAGGACTTTGACAACGACACAGCAATCTAACTTATTGAATCAGCATACACCTACCTCTTAGATAAGAATTCTCTCCCTCTTCAAAAGTTGACATTCAATGTGAGAGCTCCATTTTCAGCAATATACGCATTTTTGAGAAAGCAACCTGCAAAATAGATTAACAAACTAGAATAGCTGAGCTTATCAAAGGAGATAAAGCAAGCGATAAAGGATAAGTTGTACTTAATGTACGCTTAAAACTATTAGAAGGTAGGATTGCTTACAAATTATAAACTTGAATGCATGAACCCTAAAGCTATTGAAGTACAGACTGAGTCAGACTTAGTACAGACTCACAAGAACTCTCCATCAGTGTTAGATTATGCAAGTTGCTAGTGGAAGATCAATGTGATCCTCTCGACAAACTATCTTAATAAAGTGCTAAGGCCAGAGGTTGTGATCGAGATTCAAACCGCCCAGAACGAGAAGGTACTGATGACTGTTAGTGTAGAGAAGTTTGAAGAGCTCAGAAGACAGGTTGCTTATCTAATTAGATATACCTAGCAGATCGAATGTATCAGATATCTAAATGTATGATTTTTGTGATGTCTGGGATGATTATACAAATATTTAAACATCGCATCAATCAATTTATTTTCACTTCACTTTTAATAATAATTGATTAAAATAAATTAATGAAAGCTTACTGTCAGGAGTGTAAACAAACTCTGATCCTTCAGCAAACCTAATCCTCCATTCTGCGAGAGTCTTTTGATGATCTAAATAGAGATCTCTAGTAGCATGATATCTAGCACAATATATATCAGCATGATTTGTATTTCTTTGGAATGAGTGGGGATGCAGCTGATAATAGCAATCAGGTTGACAAGGAATTGAAAATTAAAGACATGGTAGAGTGTGGACCTGGGCAGCAATTGCAGCTCAAATATCCCGTGTGTTTCGAATGCTTTGACTCTATTATCAAGAAGCTAGAGGAGAAAATCACTGGGGAAGAGGAAGAAAGGGACTTATATATTAAAGAAATTAAGAAAATAGAGGGTAAACTGGCCAAAATAGCTAATCAGAAGGAATCCGATTTGGAGAAGGAACTCAAGTCTTTGGAAAACGAGGAAGCTGAGATGGATAAAGTACTAGCATAGTTAGAGTAAGAGGAGAAAAATAATGAAGAGGAAGTGCAGAGGCTTTCAAAGGTAAAAGAGTCCCTCTAAGCAGAGGAGAAGGCATTTTGGAGAGATGTGAACAATTATGAGAAGAATCTGGCAGGATTTTAGGAGAGTTTGTCACAAACAGACTATCTCATTCAGAATTTGGATTGGCAGTTCAAAAGACTCAGAAACACTAATTTCATCAATGAGGTGTTTTACATTAGCACTCTTGATGAATTCGGAACTATAAGTGGGTTTAGAATGGGCAGATTACCTACTACTGATGTAAAATGGGAAGAAATCAATACTGCTATTGGTCAAAGCTTATATCTCCTCACAGTACTTGCACACAGATTCAATTACAAGTTTGAGTTATATGACATTTAACTGTGTGGAGCTTTTTCTAAGATATCCTTGAAAAGTAACCCTAAAATGAAGTTTGAACTGTTCATGCCCTCAAACGAAGATAGATTTAACAACGGTCTTGTTTGCCTTCTTAATGCTCTTAATGGTTTATGCTAATTTGTTCAGTAGAACTATTCTCAATAAAGATAAAATATACTGCCATCTCAGGATAAATCTATTCAGTAGGAACGATAGAAAGTTGTATTTAAGATTTAAAGCGACACAATTCATGGCATTTCAATCAAATACAACTCAAATGATTTGCCTCAATGGACTCGGGCTTGCAAATACTACTTGACTAATCTGTAGTATCTGATTTATATCAGCGTTATAAGAGATCAGTATGAGCAAGGATAGAGCTAGCAGAATTTCTGATTAATTATTTTACATTTTATATCAGTAATGCATTAATTATACTTTATGGGGTTTTGGGGTTTTGGGGTTTTGGGGTTTTGGGG